GTGCAGGCTCACACCTTAAATGGTGGCGAGGCCAATGCTGCTGCCGTTGCAAGTTGGCGCTGCTGACAAGCTTGAGTAACTCAAGAGCATGTGATTATCTAGAAGCGAGAAATATTTATGTACTGATGGCTGGCCGCAATCATTGATGAGGATACTGTGCTACTCTTTCCAGCATGAATGGTAGCAATAGCAATCTTATCGCTGGCCCCAGCTCCAACTATGGCCACTGGGTATTGATATTTTTCAAGGCATAGGCCACGCTATCATGCCGCAATTGCTGCTGATGGTTACTTGCGTGGCAGGAAGCACGCTTTGTAGCTACAACAGTATCTTATGAAAATTAAAAATTAAAAAATAAAAAAAAAAAACAAACTACGACGCCGCAAATCTTTGAAGGGGTCGCCAGGTAGCTACTACTGCTGCTGCTTACCCAAGCAACAGGTGTAATAATTGAAACCGCTGCATGGAAAACGCTAATCATGCTCCGACTGCGCGCAACTGTCAGGCAAATTATGAGCCAGGCGCGGCTCGGAGCTAACTTCTCTTGAGCTTAGTTATATTCTATAGTTGCTGCTTGCGGTTCCGCTCCGGCTGTGCACAGGGCTTTGGCATTAACTCAGGCAGCAGCTGTAGAAATACAGAAATGCCTGATGCCACAAACAAAAAATAACTTATACGCCGCATAGCACACACTACCAAAAAGTCCAAATGCATGTGCCTTTACATGCGTATCCTGCTTGATCAATTTCCCACGCTCCTTCTGCGGAACCTGGACCTACCTTAATTAGAGGCCAGCCAAGCGTTGCGGTTTGTCGCACCTGTGCGCCGTATTTGCCACTTTTGGTGGTTGCTACCCAAATGACTTACGCATTTAAAATAGTTGGGCTAACGAATTTACATATCAATCGTCCAAAAGTTGCTGCTCATGCTGACACTTATCTACTGCGAATGTGAGTACCCGAGTACGAGAACGAGTACCCATATGCGAGAATTGTAAAGCAGCTACGCAGAGGTCACAGACGTTGCACACATGCTGCAAAATTATCCGAGGCTCCGCTTGCAACACCAAGAAACAAGAACAAAAATTATAGGTCCAACTAATGAATTTTGTTAAGGTGATGCTTTCGGTTACAAAGTATGAATAATGCAGTCGATTGCAACAGACTCCATAAAATATATAAAGAGGCTGATTTTGAATCCCTGCAGGATGGGCGTATTTAAAATATTAATATTTAGACCAATCTAGCTTTTCGAACTATGGAAGATATAGGCCAAATAGGTCTAAAATTGGCTTGCGCAAGTATATACATAACAAGTTTCAAGACTTACTTTAAAATGGGGATTAAAGATGTTTTGGGCGAATGTTTAAGTACTGTCCGATGCGCTTCAAACTTATTTCCAAATAAAAACTTAATGAATACGAGTTTCGGCGATTTTTCATTCATTTTTCATTGGCGGAAAACTTACTGCTTTACCATCGGATCGGTTTCAAATTCATTTCCAAAGATCTAATGTTTAATGAACGAAACGGATTCCAGATTCTCACCTCAAGACCTGTCACACACATGGAATGGTGAAATGGTGGAACTGAATTTGATAATAAATAGTATATTTATAATATAATTAAATAATACGAGGTCAATGACATACAACATAAAATGGTGTTTTATTGCAACATTACGGACCCGTAACAGTGTTATTGACGCGATCGCCCAATGCGTGAGTTTAACGGCGACTGAGTAAAGCCACCTGTGTGCACTGCACACAAAATAATGCAAATTATCAACCTGCATGGCACGAATGGTCAGGTCAGTCAGGTACATGCAGATGGGTAAATGGCGATAGAGTCGAGGCTCGGCTCATAATTGAGTTGCAAATACGGTGCTGCTGGATGGTGTTGATGGGCTTGCTCCGTCTCTTGATCTTGCTTTGGTCTTGAAATTGGTTCCCAGGCTACTACTAGAGCAAGTTTGCAGTGCTTAATGCTATTTAGAAACAAAAACCAAAATTTAAATACGCTCTTTTACAGATAATCATCATAATTATCTTGCAGCAATGAATAAAATACGTGTATATATCTAAGCAAATTACGAAAAATACGTTTAGTTGCGGCTCCCAGCACAGTTGGACAATACGCAAAACTAAGTATATAATTGCTGCCAACTTTATGACAGACAATTATATATATCATAATATATATATATATATAAATATCTTTATGTATTTTAAATTTTACATTGTTCCATTTACTTTCCACAATATAAGAAACACATTTTTCACACGCGTTTCATTTTCGGGCGTACACACAAAAATTAGGCACAAAAACGTTCAGAAACCGAGAGCTAAAAACGACCACAAGCAAAGGCTTGAGCTACATTTATTATGCGAGGGCTGTTTATGCAGTTTATGTGTACAAAATCAATTTGTTTAACAGAATGAGTTTCTTACGCTTCAAATGTAAATACAATAAGCGCCAGGTGCTTGTAAAGGTTTAATTCTTACTTTTACTTTGGAAATCTATGTCCACACGCCATCATCCTATCAATCTGAACTGAAACTTTCTAATCCTATTTTTGCAAGTATTCGAATGCATTTGAATGCATTTCTAAGTCAAGTATATTGATTTTCTACAATGTCTATTTCGCTGCCCGATTGTCCGTATAAAGGCAATCGATTTAAAATCTTTTTTAACACACACAATTTCGCCCATGCCTATCAGCTTTATACGCCTCAGTATCAAAGCTGGGAACACAGAATTCTAATTTAATCTACTACTGGACTTCTTAAAGACAAAGTCAAAAATAGTTTTGGCCCGTCAACTTCAAGCTATCATATGACTTCTTATTTGCATTTCAACGAGAATACAGGATGCTTGGCAATTCCTTATTTATAATTAATGTGTCTTTATATAACGCATAGAAAGAGAGGTCCTTTTGTAACAAGTGAGCTTGTTTTATATGCGTGTAATATTGGGTTTCTTATAATATTTAATTTTTTGTTGTACTTTCCCTATTGTTGCAATTAATAAGAACTTTACGTTTGGAAATCGGAAACGATTTCTTACAACAGACTTGCAATGCAATCTAGATTAAAATGTAATAATTTGTTTTGTATGTTGAATCAATGCAGATTTTTCACTTAACGTATTCAACTAGTCGTTTAGCCTTAAAGATGTTAATATGAAACTTGACATCAGCTTGCTTCATACAGTATAAATGTTGGAGTCAGGCGGATCGAACTACTATATCAAATAGCTGCTATCGGAAATATCTATCAAAAATTAAGTTCTAATTGAGTTAAAAAAGTGAATATTCTATTTTTTCGTAATTCTTGCCAATATTTTTTTTTATCAATATAAAAAAGTCAAGTCCGGTGTACAAAACGAATCATTCTTTTGTTATTACAACTATGCGTTGCGGCCCTCGCATCTATGCATATTGCTGTGAGCATTGGTAAAATGATTGTTGCAGGCTTGTTGGCCTTAGTGGTGTTGCGTGGTGCGGCGATGACGACTAAGCCTATGCCCAGTGCCTCAAAAGCGGAAACTCATTGGCCACGCTCCGTTGCCTAAATTTCTCAACGCGACTTTTTGAGCAACAGGTTGAAAAAAAAAAAAATACAAAGCACTGCAAAAAAAAAAAAACCAAAATCTGACGGCAAAACCGCCAGCAAAATGGCCGACGAATAGACAACAACAACAAGAAAAGCAAAAAAAAATTGTTTTAATATTTCAGTTACGCTTCGGCGAGCTACGACATCGTGATAGGCAGGCTCTGCATAGGCATCTTCAAATATAACAACAACTCCAACAATACATGCGCATTTCAAATTGCCAGAGCGAGACAGCTAGTCCGCATCGGACAGAGAGAAAACGTGTGGGGGAAGGTGGCAGTAAAGCCGCAAAACAAAGGGTATATCACAGACCCCATAGATCTGCGCCAGATTCGAGTCCCGTGCCAAGCAACCACAAAGAGGCAGAAGACAATCAACAACAACGACTGTATCTGACTGTATCTGGTGCCTATATAGCCCGAACACCTGAGCATTTCTTTATGGATCTTGAGCAGAAAACCTATCGCGGCGTAACATCATTAAAATTGGGTTGAGATAGTAGCCAAGTTAAGATAAAAGGGTTCCCGGTGCTGCCAGACCCCCTGCTCGGCACGCAAGTGCCGGCCAAATCATGAGCCCATATCGGTTATAGTTAGTTAGTCGGGCAGCTTACGGGCCTGTTGCTCTTGCTTTGGCTGTTCTATTGGTTACGCTTCGCTGTCGGGGCAAAGATGGTAGAGGCGTTGTCGTATTTGATTTTAGATAGTACATGCGGACGGAGGCCTCTATGGTTCTCTACGGCTGTATGGTTTCTACTCGCACAAACCTCAAAGCTTTGCTGCATGTGGTGATTCTCACGTAATTAGCGCCAACAACAATGCCATATAATTAGCCCAGCTGCAAAGAATTGTTGCCAAGAACTATGCATAGTACAAAAAAAAATGTGTATATGGGAAAGAGAAAACTAAAATTGTTATGGCATAAAATACGCAGGTGCTCGCTGGGTGCCTAGCCCACCCCAGAGCCCAAGAACTGAGATAAACCAGCTGCGATAGTCAGTTAACCGTTTAATGACTTTTCCTTTGAGCGACTGATGCCATTAGAAGATTTCCCATAATTGTCTCCATTCTACAGCACATCTTTCGCTCGGCATCATACCTTATCTTTACTCTAATTATCTACATTTTCTCTATATGTCTCTTTCTCTCTTAAGCTCTTAAATATGCAAAACTGCTCACTGAATTTTTGTAAGAACTGCTTTTAATTGCATTTATAATATTGACTTGAGCTCTCCTCAATAAGAGATTATAGTATAGATCGCAATTTAAGCTGATAAGGGAGCGCTGAGCTATATTGAATTATTCGAAGCAACAACAAATACGATGCACTCTCCGCTCCCGACTTATCAATAAACAACAAGACTGTGAATACAGTTCAGTAGTACCTAGGCATTCGAAAACATTGGATCAGTGGAAATCGAATATGATGGAATTGTGTTTTGTTTTGTTATTCGGGCTCATCTGGAGCTGCGGCTCTGATACACCAGAAACTTACCTTCTAAAGACACAAAGGTATGCGTACAAGCATGTTACATTAAATTATTATCTCCCGGATACAAATATGTAGGCAATGTATGGTATTACAACCTGATCTAAGCCATAATCAGTTTTCAAATCTCTGTTTGAGAAATAAAACGCTAACCGGGCAATTCCGGGGGATACTTTAGTAAAAATAGCTAGCCATAGTTCAATTCAGAATATATATAGTTTTCTTCCGACAGCCTGCCGACAGATCGCAACTTTATGCCCAGCCTATCAAATGGCCATTTGGGCTATACGGTATTTGGCGATGCTATATTTATGAATGGCGTATACAATGGAGCTGCTGGAAACAGCAAAAGAGCACGAATTCCCAATTGGATAAATATAACTGCCGAATTATGTGATCGACTTAGCTGCCAGATAAACAATGAGGCTACTGACATTAGCTATGAGATGGACCTGCGCGGCGGCTTCTTTCGACACAGCAGAAGTTTTGTATCCATGGGCCTAACTCTGGAACAACGAACCTATCCACATAGGTATTATAATCGGGCCCTGGTCTATGAACTGTTAGCCTTCAGGCATCCAACAGTTCCATTAAACCTCGGTGAGAACGAAAAAAAAATGTATTTGCAACTTTTAATCTTAGTTATTAAAAGTTGCAAATAAGAGTAAATCTCGAAATACTGTCTTGGTAAAAAGTTTGTATGTATTGTGTCAAGTTTCATAAATAGGTTTAATATTTATATATTTTCTGTACCTGAATCATTGTACCCAGAGCCGCAGTATCTGAAGCTGACCCAACAGCCGGGCAACGCCAGCAGCGACTTTGACTTCGAGGTGCTCAGCAATGGCAGCAATGCTGCTGGAGATTATCGCCTTATGCGCGGACGCACCAAAGTGTTGGAGCATAAGCAATTTCAGCCGCACCCTCATGAAATATATGTTCTGTTCAGCGAGGCAATGGAACAGCCTCTTAAACTGGATTGGCCCACCGGGCAGAGAGAGCTGCAGCATCGTGTCATCATTTCGATTGATCGCCAGCAAAGTGTGGCTCTCAAAGAGCTGCAGGATGCGCTTCAGCTAAGTCCTGGTACTTTAATGCAAAGCCATATTCAAGTCTGGACTGATTTTTGGGAAAAACAGTTCTCTATTGAACTAACTGGCAATGCTTTGGAACTATCGCGCATTGTAAATGCGGGCATTTTCTATTTGGCCAGCTCTTTGCCAACGTTAAGCAGCAACCAGGTGAATGAGCCCTACTTTGGGCTGAGTCCCACGGGCCTGGCGCGCGGCAACTTGGAGGCGGACTATGAGGGTCATAACTTTTGGGACACGGAGATTTGGATGCTTCCTGTGATCACACAGTTTGGCTTTGAATATGCCAAACAGCTGCTCGGCTATCGCTATAATCATCTGGAAGGCGCCAGATACAACGCTCAAATGATGGGCAACAAAGGCGCCAGGTAGGTTCGCTTTAAACAAACAAAAGTCGTATTTTTATTTCTCGAAATTTCCTTTGTTAGATTTCCCTGGGAGAGCGCCTACACTGGCACGGAAGTCATCAATCCTTGTTGTCCAGAGATAGCTCAACAGGAAATACACATTTCTCCAGATATATCCTTTGCACTGCAAAAGTTTTTCGCCCAGTCCAATAATTACACATGGTTATGTGAGCAGGCTTGGTTCATAGCCGCTGAGGTGGCCGAGTTTCTGGACAGTCGGTCGACGTGTACGCAGGCACCAAAAACCTGTCACTTTTTGAATGTCATGGGACCGGACGAGGATCATGGCAGCGTCGATGACAATGTGTACACCAATGCGGTTGCCAAAATAGCATTGGATTTTGCCATATGGACCGGCGGCAGGTGCGGCAACAGCAGCACGTATCTTATCGAGAATTGGCGCAACCTCAGAGACAACCTGGTTATTCTACGCGATGAAGATCTAGACTACCATCCGCAGCATTTGGGCTACAAGTTGAATGAGACAGTCAAGCAGGCGGACACAATACTACTTGGATATCCGCTGCAATTCGATACCAGGTGGGTATCCATATAGTTATCTTGCATCCACCATGTCTCAAATCTCTCCAGTTCAACGCATTTGAATGATTTGCACTATTACGCGAAGGTTACACGTACCAATGGACCGGCTATGACCTGGTCCATGTTTGCTGCCAATTATCTATCCACCACGGAGGATGGGCGCGCCCACGATTTCTTTGCCCGTGGTTACCAGAGCTATGTGCACAACGAGTTCAAGGTTTGGAGCGAGGTGCCCATTGGATATAAAGGCTCCGCCAATTTCCTAACTGGCATTGGCGGCTTTTTGCAAGCCCTCATCTTTGGCTATGGTGGACTCAACTTTGCCCGTGTGGCTGACACATCACAAATGCAGCTTACCCTTCCTAACGTCCCTCCCCAAGTGGACCAAGTGCTGGTCAAATACATTCGATTTGCGCAGGGCAAATGCAGTTGGAATTTTCAATACAACAGCTCCAATATGATTTGCACATCTCCGGTGGATCAGGTCTTTGAACTAATCCAGGGCAGGCAACGGCGACTCTTGGGCAACAACTTTAATGGTATGCCTATTGAATTAACTTGAGCTTGGATCGATTTAAATCTTTCACCTTTCGCTTTAGTGACACTTAATAGGGGCGATCCGACGATGTACATTAACGTGTTGAACTCAGGCACAAGAAAATAATACAGGGGAACATTTTATACTGATAATTGCTTAAAATAAATCACAAGCAGAATAAACTAGAATGGAACCCATGTGCAGATATATATCAGATGTGCACTATACTTAAATGCTTAACAATATTTTTATAGAACTCTATTTCCAACCGGCAAGACCCAAGCTGGTTAAACTGATCAGCCCTGGCCAGAACCAAAATAACATATCAAAACACAAATTCAATTCCGTTGATCCTGGATGTTTGACTCAAAGCCGGACGGACGGACATTGTGGTTCTCTCTACTTTCATCTTAGGGCAAATACTCTACGATCTTTGTTCAGGTAATATTTGTTTAAATTTTCAAACCGCCTGTTTTCTTTATAGAAAACCTTTCTTGAAAACCGGGACCTTTTTTGTTCTTAATTTGAAACTTCCTGAAATGAAACAAAAGTACTTTTATGGCTGTTCTTTCTTTTCGTTTGAGAACAAGGTTAGTTTATTATCAATAAATATGAAGTTGAGTTGCATATTAGCGTTTTGTATGGTTCTGAACTCTAAACTTATATGTATATGAACTACAATAAGCTTTTAAATTGTGATTTTGGAAGTTACTATTGCATTTGGTTGTAAACATTTCTGGGCTGTATCCCAACTCTTTACTTAAACTTGGATATTGAGGCGCCACTAACGCCAGCGGTAGTTTTGTTGCTACCACTAAGCACCACATATGGTGTTTTGGTTTCCTTTTGCTTCTGCTGAAGCATTGTTAATGTGCAAAGTGGCGTGTCCGTGGAGCTCATTGTTTTCATTAGCTGCAAAAGATGCATATGTAAAACATTTCAATTTTCAAATGATATCAACAGGGAAAACTTACGCCATCCTGCTCCATTTTCTTGAGACGCTTCTCAATCTTGTTTTTTCCAGGTCCCTTGCCATGGAACTTGTGCGACAGATAACGGAAAGCCTCTTTAAGGTTCAGGATTCGACCATTATCATCAATATAATCAAGTTTGACATTGGGCTTGAATGTTTCTTTGTCCTTAAATTCCATAATGGGACCAGCGTGGAAACGATCGCGACGTCCGATTTTGTCATCCTCACTAAGTATAGAAATTGTTTATTAAAAAAATTATTTGGCTCTACATTTTATTTACTTACCCAGCAGCTTTGTCCTCAATGGAATAGTTCTTTGCCTGTAGATGCGCCATTTTTGTATTACTCGGTCGATTTTTCTCCTCCTTTTCCAAATAACCTTTGGATAGGGCCAAGCGCAGTGCATTTGCCACGCCAGCGCCCACGTCGGGCTCCTCATCTAATATAGCTCTCTCCTCGACATCATCGCCCAAATTATCCAAATCAGCGGGCTGCATAACTTCATCAGGATTAACCGAATTCCATGTGCCATGACTTAAGGTTGGCTCCTCCTGATTGGTATCCATATGTTCATCCAACGCCTCTGCCCTGTCAAAGTCCATCATGTCATTGGAGTCCTCATTGCGATTTCCAGCCATGCCATAGGTGGGTATATCGCCCAGCGTGCGACAGAACTCTGCAGTGGCGTTGAGCACAATATTACCATCGGCGCTGCTAAGCAGCACGCCGCCAGCGTCGGTAGCATCATCCACCGGCTCAGGTTTAACGTTGTGCGTAATGGATGTCACATCGATGGGCAAATGTTTCTTGATAATGTTTTCCTTTTGCTTAAGTTTGCGAGCCTTAGACAGTACGCGCTCCAAATCATCATCATCATCATGTTCCAGCTTGATTTGTGGCTTCGACTCATCTGTCATATTTACATTATCGTCGGCTTCGCGGTAGCTTCTTTGACGGCTGCCTAGATTTGAAGAGCCCGACAACTCCGCAATTGGTTCCAAATCCTCGGCTTTTAGCTTCTGGCGCAGTTTCTTAATTTTTTTCTTTGGCTTTTTAAAGCTACAGGAACAAGAATAAAAAAATTAATTGGTAAAAGCATAATCTAATGGATCATATACAAAACTTACGTCGCCAGCTCCTCGACACTGAAAGTATCTGATGCTAATTTTATATTCGTATCCTGCAACGTTTCCAAACGTTTACCAGCTAATTTGGTCTTAATTTCTAATAGCTTGCGCTTATGCTCACGTTCCTCCTCCATGTTTTCGCCAATCAAAAAGTTTTTTCGCTTTTGGGGCTGCCCCTCGATATCCTCATCGTATTTCTCGAGTATGGCACGCTCAATTGGATTTCCAAGCTCATCGTATTGCTCTTCATAGACATTATAGCCATAGCTTAGCGGATTGAGCTTTTTGTTAGCCACATTTTTCTTGTAGCGTTCATCATCAATCATATTGACATTGACCAAAGTGTCACCCTCCTCCTCGTTGAGTACGTCCTGATCTTTGAGCGTCAGAATAACTGTTCGGCCCTCACCAAAGTCATCCACGTCGTGCTCAACACGTAAGCCCTTCAAATTGCGATCACCATAGGCCAATTGACGAGCCTTTTGCTTTTCCTGTTCTATTATATCGGTAACACCAAACGCCTCATCAAGTTCCTCCAACTCTTTGGCCTGCACCAGCGAAGAAACAAAATTAGTTCATTTCATTTACTTGGTTTCTGGAAGTCTTTGAAATATACTTACTTTGCGCAGCGCCTCTTCACGCTGATTAACAACACGCTTGTTGCGATCCACCCACTTGGAGACATTGTCTGTTTCCTCATCAGATTCGCCAAGCGTGCGAATGCGTGCCAAGCGTTCTTCGAGGAAACGCTTCTCTTTGCGTTGCTTAAGCTTTTCGCGTAGTTTTTCGGCCTCCTTTTTTTCTTTTATATTATCTGCTGGCTTATGCAAGAACTCGCCCCATTCATCCTTGTACGAAGAGAGATCCTTATCGGTGGCAGACCTTTTGTTTTCCGGTTGACTGCTACTGCTGGCGGATGGCGCTGATTTGCTTGGACCAGTTTCCACTTCAAGTGGCTTCAAGCCAAGCTTAGCACGCAATTTGTTTGTCTCTGCAATGGAGAGTACATCACCAGCACCGCTTTCCGGTATGGGCGAGTGGCTTCGTGAGCGAGCACGTTCGCGCTCCCGTTCACGTCCTGGCTCTCGCTCCCTATTGCCACGTTTACGGCTGGCGATATTGTCTGCTTTTGGCGAGTGCGAACGTTGCCGATGTGGTTGGTGGCTGGCTGTAGGTGATTGTGACCGGGAACTTCCTCGGCCACGTTCACGATCTTTCACTCCTCGTCTACGTGATTCGCGTTCACGTTCGTTTTCACGCTCTCGTCGTCGCTCGCGCTCATAATCCACATGCTTCGATATTTGTGGTGGTGGTGGGGCTGTTATTTCATGATCACGTTCTCGAACTGGTGGCTCACGCTCCCGAGCAGGTGGCTCCCGCTCCCGAGCAGGTGGCTCCCGTTCTCGAGCATGTTGTTCCCGCTCTCGTACAAGTGGCTCACGCTCCCGTGCCAATGGTTCTCTTTCCCGAGTTGGCGGATCTCGTTCCCTCGCTGACGGTTCACGTACCTTCGCCCTGGCAACTTGTTCGATCGGCACCTCCACGCAGTCGGAACCTGCAACAAGAAGGTTTAAACTTAATAAAGCTTCCAAATATACGCTTCTTCTGCTCAATAGCAAGCTTGTAATTAAAATTGTTGGCTGTTTTGCTTCGCTCTTTTCTCACACTCACAGTCTGTCGACCTGAAAACAACAAATAAAGAGAAGAAAAGAACAACAAATCTTTAGTGAGTTCAAGTCTTGAAAAGTGCAGCTCCAGGGTAATTGCGTGGCATAGAGCATATAGAATTAACCCAATAAATATCGCTTTTCATGTTTAAATAGTGCTCGCCAAGTGCGCAATTACCCTTTAAGTTGGGCTGCACAGCCGACTGGGGACAGTGCGTCACTTACTGTCCGAGTCCGACTCCTCGAGAGATATGACCTCGCTGGGTCGCTCTCGCTCCTTTTGCTTGTGGTGCTTATGGCGATGTTCCTTGTGTTTCTTGTGCTTGTGGTGTTTGTGTCGCGTCGACGTCGAGTCGTCTGTGAGATCCAGAGTAACCTCCTCATCCGGTCCGCGGTGTTGCCGTTCATGTGAGCGGGAGCGATGACTATGTTTTTTGTCCTTCTTGTGTTTCTTTCCAGACGAAGAACCCATTTTTAACAATATTTGGAAACTTTTCTCAACTTTAGAAATTTATAAACGTTTTCGGTATCTTCTTTATTGTTTTGCCTCACAACTTTTTCAACACTGTACATCTCAGTGTTGTGCGCACAATGCTGCCACCCGACTTCGTTTATTCATTGTAGTCTATCGACTGAGCTCTACATTTTATCGAGTATATATAATCGGGACGTCTGGCAACATTTTTGGCGGTCATTTTGAATTACTATATAAATACATATATGTTCAATTGATTGCTTAACATAAAAAATATTAAATATTTTTAACGCTTGATACGATTATTCAAAACTATAAAAATTTGTCGAAAGTTTATATCGTCTATGCCCAGTCAAAATCGTTTTTATGAACTAAATAAATGTTTGGTGTTATTTTATATTTTATAAATCGTTAAATAAAGATGACGATTAATTATGTTTATGCTGCTTAAGCACTAGCTTGTTTGAAACAGGATAACTTATATTTTGTCCGGCTTTGCATAAATATGTATATCTAAATCTAAGGATTTTTATATAAGAATCTTAATTAATGCGGTCCCAGCGCCAAACGGTACTGTCATCGCACACGCATATTAGAATGGATCCATCCTTGGAAAAGGAAGTTTGCCTTATGGTGGATACGCATTTGGGATGCATTAGTTGGCTGCATTTCGTCAAATTTGGATCATTGGAGTCCAGCTCCCAGACAAATGTCGTGCCCAGCTGATTGCCAAGTGCCAGCACTTTTTGCCAGGCATTAAAGGCGAAACGCACAAACCAAATCTCGCACATTTTGTAGTCAAAGTGATGGAGAACAGTTGTTGAGTCCTGTGGCTTGATCTCGTGCCGCTGTGCGAACAGCTTGCCTGGTTTCCAGCACACAATTGAATTCTCGCACGACTTGGAAAAGACAAAGTCGCCGAACCATTGGACGCAATCAACATAGTTGCGATGAATGTCGCGAGTGGAGAAGTCAGGGAAATGCTCCTTGATTGTGGGAAACGGCGCCGTATTTTTGCTGGCATTAAAACTTGAACTCAGTTCAATAGCCTCCTTAATGGCGGGCTTATTAAGGCGCCAGAGCTTGAGTGAATGATCCATTCCGCTGGACATGATGCGATCACCGCGTAAATCAAAGTCTATTGATAGCACCTCGTCACGATGACCCTCAACGCCGCCAAACACTGCTACGCAAACATCTGTCTGTATATTCCACAAGCGCAGCGAGTGATCCTTGCTGCCGGAGAGCAGCAGCTGCGGCAGCACCGGATGGAACTTCAGCTCGTTTATGGCATGTCCGTGGCCAATGTAATTCTTTGAGCACTGGTGTTTGATTATGTTAAAAATTCGTATGACGCCACGATAACCAGCTGCAGCCAGTACCGGGTCTCCGGTAGTTGAATCATACGACCAAGCACAAGTGTAAAAACTTTCATCAGTCTGAAAGTTACAACAATTGATTAATATGTAATTGTTCACCCAAGATGCATTGACTCACATCCGGATCTGCGTAGACCTGCAGCAATCGTATGCTGTCACTGTCTTCGGACACAGCTTCTATATTGTTCTTGACGCATTCGTAGATAGACACGCGATCTTTGCCAACAGTTGCAAACACGGATTGGCTTCTATCCAGATAAGGATTGAATTGCACGCCAAAGATTTGATGATTGTGGTCCTCGCGGATGTGATAGCTGGAAAGAATTTATCCGAACATCTAAAAGGGTTCATTTCGTGTAGTTTCTGCATAGCGCACCTATATTTGTACAGAGGCTGCACCATTTTAGGCACCTTCATACGCCGGCACAGCCTTTTCAGCTTTCGCGTATTTGGCGACTTGCTCTTGCTGCGCGTTGTTGTTGTTGTTGTGCTAAAGACGCTGGCAGAATCGACCGAGAGTGTGTCCTCAATATCGACACCGGTGCCGGCAAGCGAAACCGTATTGGCTATTTGCGGCGTTGCCTCGTCTGTTAAGGCATCGCCATTTAGCGATTGTTCCTCTTTGCTTTCGCTAGAACTATTTTCCATAATTGCGCGACTTTTGTCTTGTTTACTTTTTTCTGTGCTGTGGCAGAGCTGCCACCTGGTTACGAAAATACCAGATTCGCGAATTTAAATAAAATACCACGCTAATAAAGCAATATGTTATATTTCGTTTTCTTATTTACAAACTAAATTCTAACGACGTACAGTCTCTGTTAGCGTGCGATTGGCACTCAGCAATTCATCAAGATACTTGTCGACTTCCTTATAAGCTTTCAAACTATGATCTGTACGCGAGAAAATCTCATTAATAAAGTAGATGCGTAGCAAGTCCGCCTTTGTATGCAGCAACTGCGCGTGCGCTTGCTGCACCTTCAGCTCATTGCCCAGATGTGGACCCGTCTTCAATTCGGCAGCCTTCATCATCAGTGCGCACTTGTGACTGGACATTTGCGCTAGTTTTTCCAAGCAAGCACGCTGTTCTTTTTGCAAACCAATTATCTCGTGCTGTCCTGGTGTCAATTCAACGTCTTCATCTTTTCTCAATGCATATGGCAGTTCTCTACGTATCCTATCGCCCATTTCTGCAATCGGCGTGAGGGTTGCTCGGAGATTGGCGGCCAGATGTGTGCGCACGACCTTGCTGTCAGTATAACTCAGCGGGGGGCATCTACTGCATTCCTGCAAGTCTACAAATGTGGCAGGCGTCAATGCAGATCAGACCGCATATACAATTACTTTGTGCTTACCGAGCAAATGTCCCTGATCATCGCCCAGGCGCACATAATCGGCTACCGACACTAATTTGAGAGCACGTTTGATTTCTGGGCTCTCCTCAGATCCAAGGTTTAAGCAGCGAATTTCATTTAATATCAACTTTAGCTTTAAAACTTTTTTCAGCTCAACGTCACGCGCCTCCAGCAGCTCTTGCGTCTCAGTGCTTAGTATTGTGTTGGATTTATCATCCATTTCCATTATGAACAATATATAAAATTGTAATTCTTTGTTTTAAACGCAGCAGTGCTGAGCACGGTTTGCAGGAATTGCTGCCAGTGCTGAAAAATGTTGCAACTCTGCCTTATTCTAGAGAGTCGCTGTTTCGAGTTAGGATAACAGAAACATTGATATCGATAACAATGCGGGAATACTGAATGTAATTTCAAACCCAATAACATAAAAAAATGCATAAGTTGCGCTACAATATCAACAATTCCGTTTGAATACTTATATAATTGATTATGTATTAGAAAATCGAAAATTGTAAACTGCTCCCTTATTTAATTAAACTTTCTTTCTCGATAGACCACATTCAATAACGGATTAACCTCTACAATATCATTAATCGTACAGAGTCGTTTCCCTAGTTGAGCGCAATTAGGAAAACTGTTGGTAAAAAGTTTGTATTGAAATTAAAAAAGAAAAGAGGGTACGATTATAATATATATCTTTTCAGTGTACGTTTGGTTCAACAACAAATGGGCCGCAATCACAATAGCTGCCGCTACTGTGGTTGTCTCCCGGTTAATTTACGCGACAATAAAATATGTGCGCAGCAGAAAATCGGAGAAGGAAGTCCTGAACATTCTCATATTTAATGAGCTGAGCGGCTCATGTGCCGCAAAGCATTCCCAAAAAGCGCCATTTAAGTGTCGCAACAAATACTGCACAAAGAGCCACATTCAGAGCATTGTCCATCAAATTGATCAGGCGCAGTATTGCATCGATATTGCAATCTATACATTTACCATAATAGAGCTCTTTGAAGCCCTCAAGCGTGCGCTGCGCCGTGGAGTCACAATTCGCGTGATCAGTGACCACGAGATGATCTGTTCAAGCGGCTCGAAGGTTTCAAGTCTGAACAGATTGGGCGTTGAGGTACGCATGCCACGAACAACGGCCATGATGCATCACAAGTTCATGGTGATCGATGGAGGGGCACGCGTGGATGATCTGTGGCTAAGAGATCGGAAATCGAAACCACGTGCCTGCCAAAGTGTCGTGGTTTATGGCTCGAGCAACTGGACATTGCAAGGCTTTAATGGAAACTGTGAGAATTGCGTGATTACCTCGGACAGGCAAATGACTGGACAATTTCAAGCTGAATTCGACAGAATGTGGAAATCCTTTGAATATTCTTCATGTAACGTCAAAGCGTGCATCAAATAGTTTCTTTATTCATTTCATATACACTTGATTTTGTCAATATAATTACTGTTTAAGCTTAAATGAAAACGCATTGATAATACTATCAACTATTTTGCCAGTTGTTTTAATTTTTCAAGGCGGCGCGTAAATGTCTCTTTCAAAGTATTCAGTCTCTCGAGCTCCGAGCGCATCTCAATATATTCTAGATAGGAAACTTCCGATTTCAGTAAAATCTCATGCTTGAGTTTCAACACGCGGTTCACTTCTTTCTGTTTGCGTTGAGTTTTAATTAGTTTCACTACCAGAGCTGTTTCCTTTGATTTCTTGAGCGTCTTTGACTTCTTCAATTTCTAAAAGTAGAGTTACTATTAGTATTAATTTTCAAATTTTTATTTAATTTACTTACTTCCATTATTGTTGTATTCTATGGCCAGTATGGTAATCAGCTGGTAAATATGGTATGCCGCTCAATTAAGGTGGCCATACTTTTTTCTTGTAAAATAATCGATAAATGACATTTGATTGCCTTAGCGATAGTCGTGTACAAAAATAAACAGAAGAAAAAAAAAATACAAAAGATTTGTGTTCGTTGTCATTTATACTTTTGAAATGAATGCGCTCACGGATAAGGTGCTTGTGACTAAGGAGGCACTAGCTATGGCCCTTGGTGACAACTGGGAGCGCTATAGGGCAAATATGAAAAACTGGTTTCGCAACCGTTGGACCAAAGAAGAATTTGATTGCGAATCCCGCAAAATCATGACGCCAGACAAGCTGCATTTGCACAATCAGTTTCTCTTGGCGCTGCTCAATAAAATAGATGCTTTTGCGGAGCCAGAAACCATTGCTACACTACAGCCCACTTGCCCCACCGGAAGCAGAAGCGGCAGCGGCGCCGGAAGTAGCAGCAGCCGAAAACGCAAACGCAGCTCACGCACCTTTGCCGATCGCATTAATTTTGAGCTGTGCGATGTATTGGAGTTCGTTAAGGAGGACAACATGCAGGTGATACGCCCGCCCACATTAGCTGGCGATCAGGGACTGCAACAACAACAGCTTCCCACACAACGCTACTGCGCACAAGAATTGTTTTTGCCCGACGCTGGTTTCATTATGGGCCGCTTCCTGATCGGCGCCTGGGAAATCGGCCTGATCTCCGTGGAAGACAGCGTGGCTGATTATGTGGCCATGGCTGTACAAGTGCTGCTCAAGGATTTACTAGCAGCAATCATAAAAAAACGTAAACATTATAAAACCAGCGGCGAGGGCAATTTCTTCTATGACGTCGGCGCCCAACTGCGGGATCCTTCGCTGCGCAACACAGTGACCCGTCAAAAGGTGGACGATACGCCTCTGGAACACGACAAGGAGCTGAACACAGCAAACTTTATGAGGCGACAAAATGATGACATTGTCTTTCTCTCGGCCTGCGAGCAAGTGTAAGCAACTGCCCACAAATTAATTTGACAGATCTTAACATTTTGTCCATATATTCCAACAGTTTGCCCTGCGAACGTACTGTGATCACACTTAAGGATTGCCAACGCGCTTTTCGCGATCGAAACCTCATTGGATCCCATGCTGTCTACTCTATCAACATGGAACGATTAAACATGATGATGCACTAGTATATTACAAATCTTTTTTTATTCTTTAATAACAAATTTGAAAAAAGAAAAAACGGTTGCAAGTCCATTTAAATTTAACAAAGCTCTCTTGGTGGTGGCTTAAAGGGCACCTGTCCAGGCGCAAATTGATCCGCTTTAAAGGCCGCAATCTCCTCCGGTGTAAGATCCTCCATGCGACTGTATATAGATGAGCTATTGTCGGGTTGCGAAGGTTGTTGCTGCTGCTGCTGCTGCTGCTGTAATGCATGGAGCTGTTGTGGTGCTTCCGATTGCATTTGTTGTTGTTGCTGCGGCTGCTGAAAGCCAGCCGGCGGTTGACCGAAAAACCCACTTGGCGCCTGCGCAGCCGCTTGTGCGAAAATATTGCCTGTATTTGGCGCCGCAACAGCTGCGCTCTGACCAAAGATGCCGCCAGGCTGAGGTTGAGATGGCTGCAGCTGCTGCGGCGCAAAGGTGACAGCTTGCCCGAAGGGCGATGCATTTGCCGGCTGCGCTTGGGCAAAAACGCTACTGCTGCCACCAGAGAAAGCTGCTGGCGCTTGTGCCTGTCCAAACGGATTCTGTTGTTGCTGCTGTTGCGGCTGCGCTTGTCCAAATATTGAGGGCTGCGTCTGTCCCAGCGCCTGTTGCTGCACGAACGGGCCTGGCTGCTGCTGTTGTTGTTGGGCAAATATGTTTTGTGTACTTGGAGCAGCCGCAAAAATGCTAGTGCCAGCAGTGTTGCTGGCGGAGGCACCTCCAAAGATAGAATTGCCACCAGACGCGAAGCTTGGCGCAGCAGCAGCGCCACCAAAAATGTTGGCACTACTAGCGCCCAAAGCGGGCTTGCTGAAAATGGAGCTGGTTTGTGCTGCATTGTTGCCGACAAAACCAAACGGATTGCTATTATTATTGGCCGCTGGCTGGTTGCCTTCCGGGCTTTCATATAGCTTGATCATGACATCGATTATTTGGGGTGTTGCCTGCAGCATGACCTTCATTTTATTCGTTGTATCAAGCACCTCCTTGGTGAACTGCTGATGAAATTGCTCGAAGCAATTCTGTCGGCGGCTTTCGTACGCTTGGTACCTCACCTCCTCGAAGGACTGATCTTCTATGAAGTTGGGTATGTTGGGTTTGTCCTTAAACGGTCCATATACAGAAAAAGGCCACATTTTACCATTTATGCAGGATTCTATGTCTGTTTTAAGGTATTGTCTAGAAACGAGAATGTGAACATGAGATTCGAGTCGTGTGGCCTCTATGGCTGTACTTACTTAACATCAAAATGTTCGTTGTGGCATTTTGTACCAAAACGGCAGGAGCCTTGTTGAAAAAAACGGCACACACCCATTGTAATCGTCTAATAAAAATATAAACAAAAATCTATTCGCATCTGTTAGCGCAATCGTTTGAGCGTTGTTGAAACAGCTGATTGTGTTTGCAAAACAAAGCTGCCAACTTGCCGCAATTTTTCTGGTCTGCTCAGCTTATGTATATGAATTTTACTTGCAGTGGGCTTCAAGTTACTGATACATTTTTGAAAAGCTTTTACATGACACTTCAAATGTAAACTGTTTAATATTTTGTCACTGACAAAGTCAATGTCTGTCAATTGTTGTCACATCGACTGTCGAATATTTTGTCATAATGCGCGTGATCGATATATCATGTTAACCTCTCGTGTGGCTATTATGCTCACCAAGTTGTTGCTGTTAACATCTGTTAAATAACATGAATGTTTAATTTGTTGTTGGAATTTGAGCGGGTCGGTCGCGTCGGCTTGTCACGGACAAAAATGTTGACGCTTGTAAATTATTGCAAAGATAATACACACGCCTCAAGCACTCGCCCCTTTAACTAGTTTTATGTACACATAGCAAGTTGGTTGTGCAAAAAGAAAAAAGGTACCAGATCGCTGATTTGTTTTGCGTCTGCGTCTCTGTCTCACATAAAGGGCAGGCAGAAAAATTCAAGCCAATAAAAGATACATACTAAAAGCCGAAGTGCGCGAAATTGTGCCTGCTTGCTTTTACGTGTGTATATGTGTGTGTTTATATTGTGCTGCAATAAACAAACAAAGGATACTTGAATGTTATTGCTTTAAGAATTGTATGAGCATTTTCGTTATTCAAACAATATATCGCGGATCGCGCCATGTTTGCATCGGAATGCGGCAGCAACAGGAACACGCATGCGTTTTCAAATATTTTGTTGCTGATGTCGCGACCGTGGTACAGTGTAATTTAACACACTGCGAAGTTGTCTAATCTAACTTGCTTCTTCTTGTGTATGTGGCCAACGGATCGCCGCCAACCCCACGCTGCAGTAGTATTTAAGTTCCACGCCAAAAAGCTTCGCCCTGAACTGTGTAAATAGCAAAGAGAAATAAGAAAGAGAGGCATACAGCGACTGTCAAGCCACCAACTTACATACATACACACATACATATGTACGTGGGTAAGTACGCCCTCCCCTGCCTACGGACTAGCTCGGCATCTTTGCATATATCTCTAACAGCCCGCCCACAAGCCTGGTGTATTTGTAAGGCAAACTGAATTAACTCATAGATCGGCGGCATAAGAAGGTTCATTCTGCCACTTCCCGTTCCCCTCAAAGCCGCACATAGTGCTGTATTCTGGCGCACTGTAACGCCTACTTGGATGCGTATTGGGAGCGGCATGTCTTTTGTTTTTCCCTCCAGTTCTATGGGCAAGATTTGAACAAGTAAATAGTTAACGAAACCAAACACAGTTTCGACAAAAATTAATTTCCAAATCAGGCCATCAGCTCTAAGAATACGAGGAAGAATTTGAACAGGCAGACAAGGGTCAAACGTTAAATGACAATAACATCAATTTTGAGGCATTTATATGCGCCAATAAATTTCACATTGAAACACAACAATAACAGCAGGAGCAGCAGCAAAAACAAAATAACAACAACAACAACAAGAGAGCAGAAAAAGATGCACGACAACGGCTCAACAATAAGAGAGATCAAATAAAAAACTGCAGTCGCTGCCGACGCTGCCTTCCATGTTGTTGTTGTTGATGATGTTTTTATGTGCTGCAGCAGGTAAAACTGATTGAGCGGCCAACAACAAACAGTGCGGCATTTCGAAATGTAATGTGCAGCAGATCAATACGAAAATGCATGCAAGACAATCTGCAGTGAAAGAGAAAAAGAGAAGAGAGCGAGCTAGCAACCTGTTGCGTCGGCTGCTGCTGCGCTGCTGCTGCTGTTAGAAATATGTTAAGTCAATTTCGTGTATCGATAAAGTGTAACTAATGCCAAAACAGCAGGCAGCGGCAACAACAGTTATGCTAAGTTCGTTGCACGAGCTTTTTGTCAATGGCTGGCAAAAAAAAAAAAAACTTTCTTTTTCTTGTGGGCTTATCACGCAGCATCGTTAAATGCGTACACCGACTTCGCTGCCCCAGTCGCAGCTCTGCTCTCTTTTCTTAAGCGTGTCATTTTGTGTCTGTTTTTTTTTTTATATAATTGGGCGGCCTTTTAGTTGAACGCGGCGGCAGCATATCAGATTCGTGGTTCATTAAGACAATATAGGTTTCCTCGTGTACCACTCCCAGTTGCCGCTGTGTGGGAAGCTTGGTATGTATGAGTGAACGTGTTTCTGTGCCTGTGTGTGTGTGTGTAGCTCTTGTCATCTTGGTCGCATCTTTGATTTCCTTCAACTGAACGTTCAACTTGTCGCAACAAGTGTCCCAGTTTATGGCCACGGCAGGCAACTAGAACAAGTTATTGTTTAACTTCCTGTCCAGCTATCGACACCGCCGCCACCACACATCGCCACATACTTTTCCTTTAGACTTGCGGCAACTGCCTCACCTTGCCCATTATCGTTGGCAACATTTTCCCACAAAATGCAGAAAATGTTGCTGCAAGCTTTTGCATTGGCCCGCCTTGAAAATGACAACGGCACATCAGACAAGAAGAAAGCAGTCTTGTGCTCGGTCTGCAGTAGCTGGCATCCCAAGCCTGCAGACATACATATGTAGCTAATGCGGGGTATATTTCAATACATAGAAATGTTTTTAAGGCAACAACTCTATTTGCCACCAGATCGTTCATATAATAGCTATATGATAGAATGGTCTGATGCTCAGAACTTAAGAACCCAATCTTTACTGAAACAAAAAGGAAGCACAAATACTTGTTGATGCCTTTTGGAATAACAAGCTTAACTTCCTGGCCAGTCAATTTGACCTATTATAACTTGGCTACCAGACCACAAATGGCCACCTCCTTTGCTCTGCGGATGCTGTGCTATTGATTCCATTGTACGGAGCAGGGAATGTTGCCATGTCCACGTAATTACTAGTGTGCCGTGGCACTGTGAAAATTTAGATAAAATGTAACTGCACATAACGCCAGCAAAGTTTCTATGGCTTGGATATTTGGGCAGAAAATAATATCGCATGCACAAATTAACATTAACACTCTATTTGCCGTTAAAAACAAGTTTGTGCTGAGCTAAAATACTTAAGAAATAATGCCACAAAAGTTGTGTTAGAAGACAAGAAAGCACGAACCGAAAATATGTAGGAGTGCTCGACTTTGAAATGCCCTGTTGAGCGCAACAGAGGGCGGAAATAAAAATTGACTGACAAGTTTGAGGAAGAACAATTATAGCACCCAAAGTGATTTGCTCTGCTTAAGTTAATCAGACTATTAACTAACTCTTACCAGGCGCATTTAACCTGATGCTCGGGTCAAATTCTTTTTAGTTTTACATATATTATTGACATATGTAGTTAGGTAAGTACATCGTTTTCTGGATGAGTACAGGGTATTAGACAACCAAAGCGACAGCATCAAAACAGTACATTTAGAAATTAGAAAGTACGTCGAACGGTGCGGTGTTAGTATAACTCGATTTGTGACTGTCATAAATGGCGGAAATTGTGGGTCTCAACGACGACGTCGCCACAGCCTCGGCTGAGTGGCTAAGACTTTCTTGCTTACTTTCCACAGCCGCCGCAGCTACTGCCACTTTTGCTGCCAACTGACTGACTCGGCCAGATTGCCAGAGTCTTTGACTGTGGTTTTCTGGCCTATAATTTGTGCCATCAACATTTTGTTGTCGTTATCGTTAGAGTTCGGACTGCGACTGCAATGATGCGTGCTGCAACTAGTGAAGTTATTAGCCCGCCCTTTACAAGTACGTGGGGCCCCATTTTCGTCAGCGGTCAGAGGTTTATCAATTTCGCTTGCCTGCCTACCTTGTTTACGACTTACTCAATTCGCACCGATGATGAAAACCACGAACAGGTCCAACAATCTGCTTTCATTAATACGCTTAGTGCGACTTGTGTTATAAACAAGCAGCATCCAACAAAGGGCAGCCAACTTTGGATCGTGGCACAGCTGTTGAAAGACGAGCCCAGCTACAGCTACAGAGATAAAATTCGCTCTTTCATTTTGAATCATCCATGGTTCAGTGGTTCCCTGCGTATTGGATTACCTGATGTCCACATTTTGCAATTTTATTCTTTCCTCATTTAAACGAACGGTTCTCGAATAAGTTTATTAATGTTGCTAGATGTCAAGTAGAGTTGAAAAGGGTTTATTATTTCCCAAGGTGTCAAAATATGGTGTTATAATCTGGTTGTAACCACATTTTGGTGCCTTACAACATGTTCGATTGCTCTAATTATACTACTTTACAAGCAATCTTTTGCAAAATCTGAGTGTTTTACACATTTCGCCAAATGCAAACCTCTTAATTGGAGACGAGCACAATATAACTTGAGGGTAGGAGAGTTCAAGACAGTACAAAGAGTACCCAAACATGTATGTATGTTAGTATGTATGTATATACGACTTCTAAAGTCCTATTATGGCATTTAAAATCGTTCAATCCGGAAGTTTTTGTCGCACAAAAGCGACCGCATTATGTTCCATATGAATCCAGAGCGTCATATAAGCCGCTTTGTTGAAGAAAGGAAGTATAATTCCCCGGCACACACACACACACACACGCACACGTGTGCAATCTTTATAGCTATTTTAATGATTTCCGCTTTAATGGTATTGCTTATTACGTTTTAATATTGGTATAAAAAAGAAACGTAGCTAATCGACTATGCAATACCCTGCTCACAGTGTCGAATGATCGAATCAGTTAAAGATTTAAAGATTTAGATTACTGATTAAAATAGAAACACTTAATGGAAAACTAATTGGCCTTTTGTATTAGGCATTGCCTTTGGTATTAGGCATTGCCTTTGGTATTAGGCATTGCCAATGGCATTTATTGCGCATGCGCGACCTCGTATGTTGCTAGTTACAGAAGGGTATATTGGTTTGGCGCATGGGTATATTGGTTATCGCAATCGCGGAAAACGTTTCTATAAAAATTTTTGGTTTCGATCGGCCTAAACCCATTCCAAGGATCTTTGTGGAAATTCATTAGAGTTTGACACTCATTGTGGAAAAGGGGAGTTCATCCATTTTGTGGCCAGGTTCAACATATATCGAAACATCACTATGAAAATGCTAGAAGGTTTTATGAGCATTTTCAACATTTTGAAAATCCCACCACAAACTTGA